GGAACCAACAATAAGGATTAAATATGTCCCGGTAAGGGAATCAGCTATAACCAAACTTGTATTGATAATTAACTTCACAATGAAACCTCAACTAAACAACAAGACATAACAAGCACGTGATAACTACATCGGTAACCACAACAATTGGACATGTAACCTATTTGTACGAAGTCATAGAGGAACTCACAATCAAGAAGTATCAAAACAATAAGGAAGGCGATCACTTCAATTAAGGCAATTAAGGGTCAATGCAACACGTAGGAATTCGAGGAAAGCTAGCAACATCATATGGAACATATGGAGACAATTTAAGCAATTATTAAACCCAATCATAACGGAATACTCTCCAAATATTGAGCATAAGGACCTAAGAACCCTAGAGCATATTTCCCACAAATAAGACCGAGCACACACTCGTCACCTCGCATGCACGAACTACAATTAGCATAGAAGACTCAATTCCTACAGGGAAGTCCCCCACACAAGGTTAGGCAAGATACTTACCTCAAGGACGACAAACCGATACTCTAAAATGCACTTCTCGGTTGAAAAGACCTCCGCACGGCTCAAATCTAACCAAATTAAATTCAAAGCACAAATAAAACACATAAGAAACTATTCCGGATCATAAAGTCTCAATTTTTAACAAAATCCAAAAATTGGTCCAAAAGTTGACCCCCGGGCCCGCGCCTCCGACAAATTTTACAAAATTCGAATGCCCATTCCAATATGAGTTCAACCATACAAAATTTATTAAATTCCGATACCATTTGGCCCCTCAAATCACGATTTTTCATTTTAGAAATTTCCTTCAAAAACAAACATTTTCCTCAACTAAAATCACAAATTAAATGATAAAAATAAAGACAAATTCATGGAATATAATTAATTCTAGGTGAAGAACACTTAACCAATCGTTTTGCTTGAAAAATCCACAAAGAATCGCCCAAAACCGAGCTCTAGAACTCCAAAAATATTAAAAATGGCCTAAGCTTCGATTTGGAAAACTTATATTCTGCCCAGCTATTAAAGCATCGCGAACGCGGAGGAAGTATCGCGTTCGCGAAGAAGAAAAATGAAGGCTGCCCAGATGTGCTTCGCGAAGCGACAACACGCACGCTAATGCGAAGAAGGAAAATATTATGGCCCAGAGATTGCTCTTCGCGAACGCGAAGAGTGGAATTGCATAGCTACGCGAACGCGTGAGGGGGGACGCTAACGCGATGGGGATAAAGCAGAGCTTCGCGAACGCGAGGAGTGTCACGCAAACGCGAAGAAGAATTTCCAGGTGGTCAGCAACAAAGCTTCGCGAACGCGAAAGGCTGTTCGCGATCGCGAAAGAGGATACCAGAAGCAGAAAACAACAGTTCAAAAATAAGGGAAAGTGACCCGTAGCCCACCCGAAACACACCCAAGGCCCCCGGGACCCCGTCCAAACACACAAACAAGTCATATAACCTAACACAGACTCTCTCGAGGCCTCAAATCACATCAAACAACGCCGAAACATCGAATCACACCAAGAATTGAACTTAGGAACTTTCAAACCTTCTAACTTCCAAAACTCGTGCCAAAACCTATCAATTCAACTTGGAATGACGCCAAATTTTTGCAGACAAGTCCAAAATGACATAACGGAGCTGCTCCAACTCTCGGAATCGCATTCCGATCCCGATATCATAAAAGTCAACTATGGGTCAAACTTCTCCATTCTCCAAACTTCAACTTTTCCAACTTTCGCCGAAATGCCTCAATTTACCCTACGGACCTCCAAATCTGAATCCGGACGTGCGCCTAAGTTCAAAATCACCATACAAAGCTGTTGAGATCATCCACGACCCATTCCGGGGCCGTTTACCCAAAAGTCCAATTCCGGTCAAATTCTCACCGTTTAAACTTCCAAAACTAGTTTCCTTCTTCCAATTTGACTCTGAATCATCCGTTAACTGAATTCAACCATGCACGCAAGTCAATACACATATTATGAAGCTGCTCGAGACCTCAAACTGCTGAACCGGACGCAATTGCTCAAAACAACCAGTCGGGTCGTTACATCCTCCTCCACTTAAACATACGTTCGTCCTCGAACGTGCCCGGAGTCATCCCAAAACCATTGAACCACTGCATGAGCTCACCATACATACACCCGGGGGTGTTTCCCAATCATCCAACCTATGAAGAACTGACAATGCCACTTAACTGAAGGTCTCGTCTCCTCCTTAGTCCATAACCTTAGAAAAGGACCCAAACCTCATCATCTGAAATTCATCATAGGACCCGAATTTCACATCATCACACTGAACACACCCAAACAAGCTGAACCGAGGCAAAAATTCCAATCCCGAATACGATCACATGCCGCTCCACACAACTCAATGCCCGAAGCAATAACCTCTGACCGCCATAGCTGCTCAAATAACATCCTGGATGCCGACAACACACCTCACATTGAATATATCCTTATTTCGGACCTCCACATCACTGTTCATGATAAATAAACATGCGGGAACTAATAGCCGCCTATGAAGTCAACAAGTCAAGAAACCCTCTCGCCCGCCAGGGCCATTATCCAAATCTTAGCAGAAATACCCACATACTTCCAAACACCCCTCACTCCCGATACCATAGTACTAATCTCAGGTCTAAGAACCTCATCTCAACCAATACAAGCAGCACAACTGACAGCTCATCATGGAACCACACGGATTTTCATATTACACAATTCGTACACCAAACCAACAATAACTCAATTATGCATCACAAGTAAAGAAAAGCAGGGAATAAGAATTATCTAACGAGCACAACATGCGTAACAACAAAAGTGTAGTTCTTCATCAAATGGTCCCACAGAGTGTAGAAAGGCTTATGACTTGTACCACCGGTTTTGGGAATTTTGATTTATTGGGAGTTAATTAATTTGAAGTTAATGAATATTAAGGTTATTTCTGCAAATGTTAGCTTACTAGTTTAGAGACTAGGTGCCATCACGACTCCTTCGGAGAGATTTTGGGTCGTGACAGAACCAAATCGACATATAAAAACTTCTACTTTTATATATGCTTTTGAGACTTTATACTGAATTTTCTTTAAAAAATATCTAGAAATATTTGTGATCCTCTTGTGGAATGTAATATTTAATTGAACCACGAAGTTCATCAATTTTAGTTACTTTCAATAATGATTTGTATCATCACTTTCTTATCAAGTGTTATTAAAATGCATCAATCTCTTTGTTCTTCCATATTCGTATATCAAGATCTATTAAACTCTTATATTTTTTTTCAAATTTCAAATGGTATTTATTGGTAATTTTAAAACTAAATAGAATATATCATTATTTAGGTTTAATATTAATTTTTATGTTTAATTATTAAATTCAGTTAACCTTGAAAGCGTACGGGTCAAATGGTTTTGTGGCCCATTACAAATTTACTTTTAGTTTAATGACCCCATCCCTTTTACACATGAAAGATTTACTTTTACACATAAGAGATCTTTCTTTTATACATAAGATATCTAAAAAAAGATATTTTTTTAAATTCAACATTGTAAAAAGCCATGAGGACCAATTACCTCGAAAGAGGGTACATCAACGAAAATTTATTGTTAAACGATTAAGAAAATAATTATTATTTGTTATTTAATGAATTCTGCCATAAGAATATTTTAATAGATCATATGTTTGTCAATTTTTTTTTAGGTTTTACTAAACTTATATTCACTTATCAAAACTTTAACAAAGTAATATTAAAATAATATTGTGTAACAAGAAAAAAATCCCCAAAAACGACAAAATCGACCAATTCAAATTGATATAATGATTTAGTTTAGTTTTGATAAAAATCAAACCAACCCGGTTCATATACACCCATACTTTTGGCAACAAGCTTGATGGAAGCAATTGAGCATGGGAGCCGGTCAAGTTGATCTTTGATATACGTAAGTGACGATTAGATTGAAACAAAATGTATATAAAAGGAGAAATTTTGAAATTTCAGCAAAGGAGTACCATATATATAGCCCGATTAGCCAGGCTGTAAATCAGCTTATTTTGAAAGTGTTTTTTCTCAAAAGTACTTTTGGGGAGAAGACAATTTGTGTTTGACTAATTAATTTGAAAAGTACTTCTGAGCAGCAATTAATGTTTGGCCAAGCTTTAAAAAACTACTTCTAAGTGTATTTTTCTCAAAAGTGCTTTTGGAGATAAGCTATTTTTTTCTGCTTCTCAAAAACTGCTTCTGCTTCTCCTCAAAAGCATTTTTTTTTCCTTTCAAAAGCTTTGCCAAACACCTTAATTTTAGAAGAAAAAAAGCACTTTTGACACACACAAAAAAAAGAAGAAGACGCTTTTGCCTAAAAAAAAGCTTGGCCAAACAGGCTAATGGTTAATTTTCTTTTTTCGATCATGATATTCAGACCAACTTGCGTGCTATACCAATGGATACATATTACATTCCTGCACGGAGTACCGATAACTCTAAACACCAGGCATTTTAAAAGAAGTTAAAGTTTCTCACCAGTGAGTAGCCAGAATGTATCAACATGGCTTAGTATACCAGCAGTTTTTTTAGCTAGAGGGATGCAATACGGAGGCGGACATATGTATAGAGACGAAGGGTCATCGGACCCCGTTAACCTCGGCTAAATTTCTAAATATATATGTGCAGGTATGTCGAAAACGGTTATATATTTTGTCGGGAGCCTTAAGATCAAAAGTCTTATGGGGCACTGGTTGAGCAGTCCGCTCATGTGCCCTGTCACCTTCAAATCCCGGGTCCGCCTCTGATGTAATAACAGATAAATTTCTCTTGAGGTTCATATTATATTCCTCCAAAGTCATCTCGTTGTATTGTAAAGAATCATTAAGATTAACCGCAAAATATCTTGGGTAAAAGAGGCAATCATTCTCTGCCTAACAGATGATATACAGAAATAAGAATGGGAGGGAGACACTGCATTTCATCTTGCCCATACAGAAGATAAAAGAAACTGAAAGGAAGTGAAGAAACAAGAACAGAAAAAGAAAAAATAAAACAACAGAGAGAGGTTGTCAACACAAGAAGCAAATTAGGAAGTCCCTGAAGAACCTATCTGCATTTACACTTGTAAAACCTGGTAACAAAGCCCATCGTTGAGAAAAATATACAAAACTTACACCAAAACCCGACCATTCAGTCACATTTACAACTAACAAAATTGTGAAAAAAGGACCAAAAAGAGGAAAAGGAAACAAAAAAAGAAAAGACAATCTGTAACTTTTTTAATCAAAACCAATTTAAGAGGCTAAAACACAGAACCTCAGACCAGTTCGCGATCATGAAAACTATTTCTTTGCAAAGAACAGAGGAGAAGTGGCACGCTGTATATTTGGCTGCTTCCTTTTTTTCCGGTTGGTTATCTGCAGTTTGGCTTCTCCTTTCCTACTATGAGCTGTAAATAGTGATGCATCTCTCTGCAGCTTCTCTCTTCTGGCACGAAAAGCTCAGCAGCAGAATCTTCCACAAAAGAAGTAAATAAATTAATTAAAGTTGAATAAAAGGAATCCTGTAAAAAGCAAGGCATGGTAATATTATACAGACCCAGAAAGGTAAAATTTTGATAGGTGATAAGGTACATATCCATAGGTCATAGGGACAAAAATAGAGCAATGATATCTTCAAGTGCATAGGATGTGGCTTAGGCAAAGTCCAAGGCCATTTATAGTTGAAGCATCTATCTTAGCAAAACCTGAATTACTAGGAGTCTCGCTTATAACAACTCATCAAAGTTAGTATTCTCTGTCAATCCTCATCTCCGGACATAATATTCAATGATAAATGTCTAAGTTGCTCGGACTCGGGTGCGGGTATCCGTTACAGGGACGGATCCAAGTATCGAATTCGGCAAAATCTAAATTTTAAGATTCGGGGGTGCGGATCCGGATATGGATACGGGTACGGGGGTTCGGCTAATAGAAAATAGAGCTATAAAAATATTGTAAATTTTGAGAGATATTCTGTGAAAAACTTACGTGAATATTGTAGAATTCAATCTTTCATTCTCCAAGATGGACATTATTCTTTCATTCTCCTAAATCTATTTTATTTTTTATTTTGAGAAGTCAAAATCTCAAATTTTTCTTCCAAATTTGTCGATGGATCCGGTCAAAGTGTCCGAAGTCAGTTGACCGTATCCGGGACGTATCCCGCTCCCGTCCCCGTCTCGTATCGGGACGGGGACGGCACCAAAATCGAAGAGTCTGCGCAACTTAGATAAATGTAGAAAATAATCTTTGCACACAAGAAATCAGGGTCACTAGAATGCTAGTCATTTAAATAAAAGGCTTACCTTGTATTACTTGAAACTTCAAAAAAGGTCATCTCGTCTTAATCTCAATTTTCCGTATTTCTTGCAGCCGATGAGCTATTTCCTGAATAAACTGTATACCCTCATGTCCATTCTGGAGCGAGTTAAAAGCATGCATGAGGAAATTACAGTCATTCTCAAGTGCTTGTAACCTCCCATTAAGCTCTGAAATTTCATTCCCCATAGCAGCTACATCAATTTCACCTCCAAGAGAGGAAACTTTTTTATGCTTAATGTCCAAATTATTCTTATCTTCACTAACAATACCATTGCCTAAATCGGCAGGCTTGTCAGTGGAGCCTCCATTTGATTTTGGAAAATCATTGCGCGTGGATGAAGAACTCTCCTCCTGTTGGGAATTAGTACTTCTCATATCAGCAGTTTTTTTCTTGACATGATCATCAACATCTTTCTCTATCCTTTCTGAATATCCATTATAAGGAACATTATCTGACACCTGTCTGCCAGAAACTTGAAAAAGCTTTTTCTCCAAGTTCTTCAGATGTTGTGAAATGCGGAGCTTTTCATCCTCGAAGTTACATATTGAATCGTTAAACTCTCTAGGTTTATCACAGTTTTTGGATATTTTAATAGTTTTCGAATCTGAACTGCCACTGAGCTTGTTCTCAATATGATCTAGACTATTATTCTCAGTCATTACTTTTTCCCCTTTCTGGTTTTTATCCTCCTTGCCTGGATCCTCTGCTGCTAATTCATCTGTATAATTATTCCTAAATAATTCTAATTCTGCTTCCAGATCTTGCAACTCTTTCTCCCTTTCAGCAAGGAGATCGTTAGCTCTTTCTAGTGCCTCCATATCATACTCGGCTTGTTCTTCCATCATTCTTAAATATTGCAAAGCTTCCATATGAAGTGATGCCTTCTCCTCTTGCAACCTTGTGATCATAGCCATTGCCTGATTTGCAGCAATGGCTGAAGCACTCCTTTCTTCCTCCAGTTCCTTGTACAGAGCATTTATGCATCTCTGATCATGTTCAACTTGTCGTTTCAACCTATCAACAATACTTTCGCCCTCAATTTCATTGATGCTGAATCCATCTGCTGGTTCATTACCAGAATCATCTCTCTCCACGAAGGTAGATTTTGGACGCAGACGTTCATGTTCAACTTGTCGTTTCAACCTATCAACAATACTTTCGCCCTCAATTTCATTGATGCTGAATCCATCTGCTGGTTCATTACCAGAATCATCTCTCTCCACGAAGGTAGATTTTGGGCGCAGACGTACCCCGTCGGAGCTAGAGGCATCACTTCTTTGGTGGTCATCGCCATGATCATTATTCCTATGACTTGCAGTTTGATTTCCATCCATCTCAGAAGTAGAAAGTTGGGGGAGTGACTTCATACCTTCTCCAGCTTTTCCAGCATCACTTATTGCACTTGGTTCTCCATGCCTATCTGATACTTTTCTCTCTCTGTAGCTCAGAGCAGATATATCTGCTTGAATTTGGTTTGGTATAGATGGAGCACTGTCATCTAAATCAACTGGAGCTTTCGCATTAGTCTTCACAGTTATGTTGTTTCCTTCATCAGTTGCTTCAGTCAAATCTACAAAATCATTTTACAAAGATAAACAAATGAAAAATAGGAACTCAACTGCTTTTCTTGGAAAAACAGAACAAGCAAGTGTATAAGACATACAGACGCATAACAACCAAAGGCAAAGATCAGCTTACTTGTCTCTTGGATGTTAATACTGGACGAAGAAGGCAAATTGGTTGCTGATATGAGCTCCGACAGTACAGAGAGGTCTGAGATACGAGGGAGAAAAATGTTCGGCTGTGAAATCACTCCTGATGTGTGATGATTTTCTAAAATGTTGGGCGACTGGGTGATATTATCCAATGAAATGAGCTCTGGCATTACCGAAGGACTAGCCTTAGGAGAAAGATTTTCCCAATCAAGTTCTGCTAAGCCATGCCCTACAAAATCATCACATGCCCGAAAACACACATTTTTGCCCGAGCTGGCGGCCAGCTGCATTGGCGGATCCAGAAGAGAAGGCCTGGATTCAGATGATTGTCGAACCTGATTCTCTGGAGTCGCAGCCTCAGTTCCTACTTTCTGTGTTATTCCTTTGCCACTTCGACCATTATCTTCTGATCTAGAATCATTTTTACCGCGAGTAGCAGAACATCCGTCATCATCATCAGAAATCTGGATTTCAGACTCAGAATCTGAAGTAATCTTCAGTTCTGTATATCCTACATGTGATAAAGGGTCAACACCAGCAGTCCTTGCCCTAGGTGAGTCTGGCCCAGAAATTTTATCCCTGATTTTCTTAAAGCTATCACGGCGGCTGAAACGGCTACGACCTGGTGCTCGTGGTAGAGGAGGTTTAACATTGGCCTTAGAAGCACCAAAACCAACTGAAGTTAGCTGGAGCAATCTTTGAGCACTTGATCGAGCTCTCCACGTCTTGTGACAACAAGAACAGCTCCACGGGCCAGGAGAACTAGGTATAAAACTCTTATTCCCCAGTTTAGCCATCATCAAATTATCCGACTCTTTAACAAGTACGTTCTCAGTAGCAAATGAAACAAGACATTCTTCACACATAGCACGAACATCAGCAAGATTACCATGAACATGACAAAACACTTGAAATGATATCTCCTCTTTATGGTTTCTGCACAAAAGTCTCCTGTAACATCCAATTTTCTTGTTCCCAAATATTTGATCAAACCGTGAGCACAACATACATGGCGTCTGCAACTCATAGTAACTGGCAAATTTGGTGATCATGTATGACAATGCCGCATCTAGAAACAACATAAAGATCAAGAACCATTCACAAGCCGCAGAAGACAATACTGTCATAAATCCCCGCGGATTTCTCTGTTTACCAGATGAAATCCCTCTTGCAGCCATTGCCACAAAAAAAATTCAACTCCCCAAATCACATTACATTTCCAGGGAACCAAACCAATGAGCGCCTGTTGATCAATAAACACAATGACAATAACAACAACCACAACAATCGCTTTGCTCCTCAATCCAATACTAATTGGGGGCGGTTATATGAGTCTCCAACATCCATTTAAGCCTATCTGGGCCCATTCATGTCAATCATTCAACAAATATAGAAACAATCCACCTTTTCTCAAATCTATATCAGCAAATTCAATATTTGACAATAGAACCTGAAAAAACAAGAGACCATAGGAATAAAATCAAGAATGCCCACAAATGTAAAAATTACAATTGACCCACGACACATACATTTGCATGCGACAATAGGGAAGAACAAATAAAAACCCCAAAAATGAGAAATATGAATTGGTTAGAGTTATAACGGAATTTCCACACAGAATTGAAAGATCATACCTGTTGATGAAGCTTATGATTAACAGAGAAATTGAAAGAAGAAAATCATCATCATCATCATCATCAGTATCACCACCAAGATTAACCAATAGGAGAAGGATAGAGAAAAAACAATAAAGGGGGCGGGCTGAAAATTACAAAGAAATCCTTTGGCCCCAAGAAATGACTGACCGTTGGAACCAACAGAAATTCAGATTCCTAGTTGTCTGCATAAAACACGACATAAAGCTTCCACCTCGATAGCTGACTTCTCTATCCTTGATATTCTGCACTTGTTTTTCTATTTTAACTTCTAATTTTTTGTTTCCTTATGTTTTTATTTTCCTCTTTTAATTAATTTTGGTTTTCTCTTTCCCTTTTGTGGTTAGCAACGAAGCTAACTTACAGGTCCTTTTTAATATTTCTCATAACTTTTAGATAAATATTGATTGTTAAACACTAAAAAGCTTTTAAAAAGTGAAATGTAAACAATGTGGGTTGTTAAGTTTTCAGAATTTAGTGTTAGTGATTTGTTAACATGGTACATCATATATGCACTTTCTTTTAATTTTTTTAAAATATATAGCACGCAGGCCGGCTCAACAAGATCGGGGCCTAAAGTCAAACTTCACAAAGGCCCTAAATTTTATTTTATTTTTTTTTAAAAAAAAGATCATAATATATATTTTTATTTAAGTCTACTTTTCTAGCCTTTAGATGCAAATCATTAATTATTATCTTATAATCGATTGGTTCTAATATTTATTTTGAATTGGTAATATAGTTAATCCATTCTATCTCTCTTGAGACATTGTTGATTTTAATAAAATTTTATCAATTTTAATTTTGAAAACATCGGTTGTGGCAACAGTTACAATAACTGTTAACATTACTCTATAAGCAATATATGTATTTGGAAAAGAATCAATTTTTTTTTAAATTTGAATGAGCATTTTGATTAGATCATATCTTTTACTTTTAATTTTATCTTAACACTTTTAATTCGAAAAATAAATCTAAACCATCAATATTAGAATAAATATTATGTGTTAAAGAAAATTCAAGGTTAAGACAATGCTTTTTCAAATTCTCATCATCTAGTAATCTTAATTTTTTACTACTAAATAAGAAATCAATTTTTTTTATATGTACGCTTTTTTAAAAATAATATATAGAATACATCTTTAGAAAAAAACTAAGGCCCCCAAAAAATTGGGACCCAAGCCATTGCTTTAGTGGCCTTGCAGTTTAGCCGCCCCTGATAGCACGCACTACTAGAATACTAAGCTAGCGTTTGGCCATAAATTCCAAAATTTGTTTTGAAAAATCTGATTTGGGTGAAGTTTGCTTTGAAGATGAAAACGTGTCTGGACATAAGTTTTCAAAACATATTTCACTTTTTTTTGTTTTGAAAAAATATGAAACATGACTTATACCCACAAGTTCTAAAAACTATTACAAATACCCAACGGTAGCTTTATCAATAACATTCATTATATTATTGTAAACCATAGTCCTTAACATAAATAAATTTGGTACAAAATTATCATTTCTATAATGAACTACATAATACACTATCTTGTTACAAAACAATAAACAGTGGGCTCTTTTATAAAATAGAAAAGTTTGGGGCAATTTTTAAAAAATGTAATAGTGATATTTTGGGCCAAAATCAGCCCTTGAGCTGATTTTGGGATTTGGGTTTTGAGTTTTGGGAATTTGCAAAAATATAGATAAAATCTATGACCAAACATGTATTTGCCAAAAAAACCCCAATATACTTTGGCAAAATCTAGGGCCAAACGGAAAATCTATCGTGATTTCTGCCAAAATATAAAATAAAGTGGAACTAAAAAGATGGAAGAATAACCGAAATATTCTTCAAAATGACTAATAAAACATTATATTGGCTGAATTCAAAATATTGGTGTAAGGGAAAAAAAGAGAAGGAAAAAAAAAAAGGCACACTCGCAGCATTTAACCCAGAACAACCAGCTGGAGGAGAAGAGACAGTAATGTAAGTTTTAACTCTGCAGGAAATAAACTAGGAGAGATATTATTGTATTCATCAGAAATTAAAGATTGATTAAATAAAGAAATAAGGTGCATGACAATAAGGTGATCTATAAATTAATGCTTACACTCTACCACGTTGGAGTCTTGGACATCTTCTTGTATTTGGTGTCAACTTTGAGCAATATACCTAATTGTGTACCAAGTCAGCTGGCGTTCCGATAATACGTGCAAGCATTTTGCATTTTCCATGCTCCCCTTAATTGGAAGATATATAATGAGTTTATTATATTGGTTCCAGGTTCAAGATTGTTCTCCAATAAATAACATCTTATAATGAAGCAATGAAATTTCAAAACTAATCATTACCAAGGGTGTGTTTGGTACGAGGGAAAATATTTTTCGGAAAATGTTTTCCAAATTTCTTATGTTTGGTTGGCTTAAATGTTTTGGAAAACATTTTCCTCATCAATTCATTTTAATGTTTTCCCTATCAAGAGAAGGGAAAACATTTTTCAAAACTCCTTCTCAAGCTTCCCCACCCTATTCTTTATCCTCACCAACCCATCCTATACCCACCCACCCACCTAACCCCACCCCATGTCCTCTCTTCAAAAAGGTTTTTTTTGTCACCGCCCATCCAGCCACCAACCCGCAATTTTTTTTTTTTTTTTTTTTTTTTTTTTTTTTTTTCAAATTTCTATTTTTTTCTACACCACCAACCCCCCTGCCCTACCCTCACCCCCACTTCACCCCACCCCGCAAAAACAAAATTTATTTTTTGAATATTATGAGAAACAAATCTGGTTTTCACTAACCTAATGCTGAGTGTGATGGCAACTTGTGGGGATGGAGAGTTTGACAATCCTGAAAAGTGAAAGGAGATTGTGAATGAAAAAAAATGATTTGTCAGAATGTGGCCAAGGAAACTCGTGTAAGCTAAGGAGGGAAGTCTCACAATGTTTCTGTATATATAAAAAGGAAATTGTGAAGATTAATAATGATGTTAAAAGCATGCTAAGGAAAAATAAACTAATGTTGGTTTTATTTTGAGAAGGCCAAAGTATAATGTGATTCTTGTTGAAACGGCATGACATTTTCTGAAAAGAGGGAGTCCAATTTTTATAAGACACATCTATTCATTAATTGAAGAGATGTATCCAATCTTTATAGATTGACACATTTATTCAGAAAAGGTGCATTGGTTATTCTTTTCACTCACTATAAATACTAGGAGTACCAATAAATCTTTAAAAATTAATTTTAGATAAATTTATAGAAGTTCCGATAATTAGGGCAGGTTTTTAATTTTATCAAAATAAATTGAAAAAATACCAAACCGTACCAAATAGGTTTATGTATGAAAAAATATGTTTTATATATTAAGTTTAAAAATAACAAAGCATAAAACAAGATTCTTTTAGGCCTTGAAATTATGAAAATGATTACAAGCCAATAAGTAATTAAAATCTAAAGTCTCAACTCCCAAACCTATTTTACTACTCCTATTGATAGTAAAATAGTTCCAGCATCTTGAGTAGCAAACCACAAGGTATTCTAGCGATTTAAGTAGGAAGCTAAAGGGTATTAAATATATTTCTTCTTGTATAATTTAGATTTCTCTTATTGGATATTTAATCTTCTAATAAACTATATTATTGCATCCCAACTTGATTTAAATATTCCTACTTATGTGATTTATACTTCTCTTCTTTGCATAATTCTTTTTATGCTGTTGCGGAATAGTAGGATTGATCTTTGTTCTGACCATCTTTTTTATATCCAGATTCAACCCTTTTAAACAGTCAAAATATCTAAAGAGTTTTGTCCAAATCCTATATAAGTACGTATGTTATCGCATCGTAATTTTTACTAGCAAACCTTACATGACATTTTAAGAAAAATACCAAAAATTAATCGATATTAAAGAGAAACTAAGATAATTGGGATGGTTTGCAAAAGTTTAATTTTGGTTATATGAAGTAGAGTAACCAAAATATTGATACGGTATAAATTTTATAAAATAACGGGCCAAACTGAATCATTAACACCCCTAATAAATACCTATTTCACTAGCCAGAAGATCTGATAATTTCAACGCCTCCATCTTTTGACTCTTCATATTGTCACTCTTTTTCAAGCTATTTCTTCATTCCTTCTTAATTTCGACAAAATCACTTGATTTAAGAGTTCTTTAGAACTATTATTTGAGGCACATTAAAATTTTCTTGAGTCATTTGTCGTATTTTGTGGATAAGATGTCACTTTGGTATTTGCACCTAAGTAGTTACAAAAATCTAAAGGCAATTTGTATTGCACCCTATTTTGCACAAGTCAAGACATGATTCAACTCGTGGTTTTTCTGTTATTGATGAAAGAGAGTCACCACCTAATATTTAAAGGTATACTAGGGTACCTATTTAATTACTAAGTTATGCTCATTATAGGTCTGCAAACCGGTGAGATTATGGGTAAGGATTTTTGTTCTTCTAAGGGGAAGGTGTTAGACACCCCTTAAATCTACCTTAGGTAGCTCCATAAGACTTGGACTAATTTTAAGAAATTCGTTATTTATACCATGCTTAATTACTACTAAGACGTGGCTTACTATATATTAAAGGGAGTATATGTAAGACTTAGAAGGGATGTAGGATTGTAAAAGAGTTATTGAAGATTAAGAAAGTTTTGAAAATGGTCTATATTTTAAGGCTTGTAATTATTGAATTATGAAAGTAATTACCTTTGAAGAAAATGTGCTTGAATAGTTTTTAAACGATGTACGTAAGAAAAGTGATTCTAAATGTACCTTGGTTTTAAAAATTCTGAAGAAGGCGAATCTTTGAAAATTCATTTTGGGTGATCATTCGTTATTGTTTTTCTTAAAAAACTGGTTTCATTCCTTGTTAGCAAAGACCAGTGATTCTTTCCTAACTTTCTCTGAAAACGGGCCACTGTTCTGATTAAGGACCTGAGCTTCAAAAATCTTTAAGAAGGGTGAATGTACAAGATGAAGAAGTTATAATTAACAGGAGGCGAAGATTAATTACTAGTTATTTTCCTTTAAGTCCTATATTAGTTAAAGTTTGCCTATGTTTCATGTAATATTAGAGCATGAAAGTAAAGTACATGATCTAATATATGAATATTAACTACATAAGAATAAAATATGATAAAACAACAAAGGCAGTAAGTGAAAATAATGAAGCTGGTAAACTAAGCTATGGAAATAATGAGCAATAATGAAAGAAATAGGGAGAGAGGACTGGACTCTGATGGTTAGGCCTCAATAAGGTTGGCCCAACAATTGAGAGGTGCATCTATAGCAGACTGGACTCTTCACGAAATGTAGCGAGGCTA